TATGCAGATACCATCACTGATTGACTTTGCAACATTCACACTTGCCTCAAGCAGACAAGAGTTCCTTCTCCCACCCTGGATATCATTCCATACACACACACATATATATATATACACACACACTCCACTTGCCCAGTTTCCAATAGACCTCTATGAAGATACACTCGCTGATTGACTTTGCAGCTGTAACGCTATTCAATGCTAATCAAAGTGGCCAATGGCAACATTCACACCTGCCTCAAGCAGACCAGTGTTCTTTCTCCCACCCTGGACATTATTCCATACAGTCTGCTTCCCCAGTTTCCAACAGACTTCTATGCAAATACCCTCACTGATTGGCTTTGCAGCTGCATATCCTACCACCATCTCTGATTCTATGAGTGTAAGAGTTGTTCAGCAGTGGAACTCTCTGCCTCAGAGTGTGGCAGAAGCCCCTTGGGAACTTTCAAGCAGAAGCTGGGTGGCCATCTGTTGGGGAGGCTTTGGTGGTGCTTTTCCTGCATGGCAGGGGGTGGACTAGATGGCCCAAAAGGGAATCTCCCAAAAGGGACTCCAAAAGCATGTAAACATACCATAGAATCATAGAATCAAAGGGTTGGAAGAGACCTCCTGGGCCATCATCCAGTCCAACCCCATTCTGCCAAGAAGCAGGAATATTGCATTCAAATCACCCCTGACAGATGGCCATCCAGCCTCTGTTAAAAGCTTCCAAAGAAGGAGCCTCCACCACACTCCGGGGCAGAGAGTTCCACTGCTGAACGGCTCTCACAGTCAGGAAGTTCTTCCTCATGTTCAGATGGAATCTCCTCTCTTGTAGTTTGAAGCCATTGTTCTTGCGTCCTAGTCTCCAGGAAGCAGAAAACAAGCTTGCTCCCTCCTCCCTGTGGCTTCCTCTCACATATTTATACATGGCTATATCATATCTCCTCTCAGCCTTCTCTTCTTCAGGCTAAACATGCCCAGCTCCTTAAGCCGCTCCTCATAGGGCTTGTTCTCCAGAACCTTGATCTGCTCCCTCCTCCCTGTATGACTTCCCCTTACATATTTAGACATGGCCCTCATCATGTCTCCTCTCAGCCTTCTCTTCTTCAGGCTAAACATGCACAGCTCTTTAAGCTGCTCCTCATAGGGCTTGTTCTCCAGACCCTTGATCACTCCCTTCCTCTCACATATTTATACATGGCTATCATATCTCCTCTCAGCCTTCTCTTCTTCAGGCTAAACATGCCCAGCTCCTTAAGCCGCTCCTCATAGGGCTTGTTCTCCAGACCCTTGATCTTCTCCCTCCTCCCTCTCACATATTTATACATAGCCCTCATCATATCTCCTCTCAGCCTTCTCTTCTTCAGGCTAAACATGCCCAGCTCCTTAAGCCGCTCCTCATAGGGCTTGTTCTCCAGACCCTTGATCTGCACCCTCCTCCTGTTGGCTTCCTCTCACATATTTATCTTGAATTGTGGTGCCCAGAATTGAATGCCCAGCTCCTTAAGCCGCTCCTCATAGGGCTTGTTCTCCAGACCCTTGATCATACCCAACAATACCATGTGGTCCTCCCAAGTCTACAACCATAGATATCCCCATGCTTTGGGAAACAAAGGGATGGGGGTCCGAAACCCAAGCAAAATGCAGCAAAATCCAAGAAGACTGGCATGAAATGTGATTTGGTTTTCTTATTTGCCGTGAACTCGATTTTTGCAAGCTGCGCATAGAAAGGGATGTGTTTTGCAAAGGAGGCCAGCAGGCCTTTGCACCTGGCAAAGCGAGCTCTCCAAGGCCGATTTGGCCCATTCTTCCCTTTGTCGCGAAACGCCAACGAAATTATGGGTTTCTTTCATCGCCACGAGGCAGAGGAGGCCGCCGGGTCGCACAAAAGCAGACGACGAGAGGCTATTTGCATCCTGGCCGGCATCCCAGAGACTGTTTGGAAATTGGGGGGAGAAGGAAGGAAGGAAAGGCGAGCCCACATTTGCATCTATTGTGCTGTTTCTTTTTCTCTCTCCAAAATATAAATACTCAAATATGGAAACTACCTTTTGGGACTCAACTTCCCTACGAAAGGTTGCAAAGGTCGATGGCGGCGCGGAAAGACGACAACAAAGGCCGAAGATGAGATGGCCAAGGAGAGATCTCCATCTGCAAAGACCCCTACAATTAGGATATTTGGGGCACTTTGGAGTCTCGTCTAAGACAGAAAAAGTAGCAAAGACTACTATTACTACTATCAATAATAATAATAATAATAATAATAATAATAATAATAATAATAATAATAATAATAATAATGTTGAATCATCAAATGTCTAGATGTCATCGGGGTTTGTGATCCAATACAACAACCAGCAGAGGAATCTTGTTCGCTGTGTACTCATCTTTTTAATAATAATAATAATAATAATAATAATAATAATAATAATAGTCCTAGGCACTTGGGAAGTATCTGATGTGTGATTGGATACAAAAGCCAGCATAGTAATCTTGCTTGGTGTGAACTCATCTTGTTGTGTATCTAATAATAATAATAATAATAATAATAATAATAATAATAATAATAATAATAATAATAAATATAATAATAACAACCTGAGAAATATCTGACGTGTGATTGAATACAAAAGCTAGCATAGTGATCTTGCTTTCTGTGAACTAATCTTGTTGTGAATCAAATAATAATAGAAAATAATAATATAATATTATTTAATAATATTTAATAATAATAATAATAATAATAATAATAATAATAATAATAATAATAATAATAATAATAATAATATAACAACAACAACAACTTGGGCAGTGTCCAACATGTCAAATAATAATATAATATAATAATATATATCTAATATAATAATAATAATAATAATATACAATACAACTTGGAAAGTGTCTGATGTGTTAAATGATAATAATAATAATAATAATAATAATAATAATAATAATACAATTTGGGAAGTGTCTGATGTGTGAAATAAATAATAATATAATATAATATTATATCTAATATAATAATAATAATATATAATACAACTTGGAAAGTGATGTGTCAAATGAGAATAATAATAATAAAATATAATAATAATAATAATAATAATAATAATAATAATAATAATACAATTTGGGAAGTGTCTGATGTGTGAAATAAATAATAATATAATATAATATTATATCTAATATAATAATAATAATATATAATACAACTTGGAAAGTGATGTGTCAAATGAGAATAATAATAATAAAATATAATAATAATAATAATAATAATAATAATAATAATAATAATAATAATACAATTTGGGAAGTGTCTGATGTGTGAAATAAATAATAATATAATATAATATTATATCTAATATAATAATAATAATATATAATACAACTTGGAAAGTGATGTGTCAAATGAGAATAATAATAATAAAATATAATAATAATAATAATAATAATAATACAATTTGGGAAGTGTCTGACGTGTGAAATAAATAATAATTATATTATATTATATTATATCTAATACAATAATAATAATATAATATATAAAATAATATATTATAATGATATAATAATAATGTCAGATAACAAGAACAACAACAACTTGGTAAGTGTTCGATGTGTCAACTAATAATAATAATAATAATAATAATATAATAATAATAATAATAATAATAATAATATAACAACAACAACTTGGGAGGTGTCCGATGTGTGATCGAATGCAAAAGCCAACATCTTGCTTGCTGTGAATTAATCTTGTTGTGTATCAAATATTAATAAAAATAATAATATAATATTATTATAATAATATATAATAAGAATATCACAACAACAACTTGGGAAGTCTCCAACATATATAATATAATAATAATATAATAACAACTTGGGAAGTGTCTGAGATGTCAAATAATAATAGATAATATAATACAATAATAATAATACAACAACAACTTGGAAAGTATCCGATGTGTGATTGAATACAAAAGCCAGCATAGTGATCTTGTTTGCTGTGAACTAATCTTGTTGTGCATCTAATAATAATAGATAATAATAATATAATATAATATAATATATTACTAACATATAATAATAATAATATAACAACATCAACATGTCCAACTTTAATATAATATAATATAATATAATATAATATAATATAATATAATATAATATGATATAATATAATATAATATAATATAATATAATATAATATAATAATATAATATAATATAATATAATAATATGATATGATATGATATGATATGATATGATATGATATAATATAATATAATATAATAATATGATATGATATGATATGATATAATATAATATAATATAATATAATATAATATAATATAATATTACCAGCAACTTGGGAAGTGTCTGACGTGTCAAATAATAATAGATGATGATAATAATAATAACAATAATAATAACAACAATAATATAATAACAACAACAACAACAACAACAACAATATAATAATGCAGCAACAACAACTTGGGAAGGGTCCGATGTGTGATCGAATACAAAAGCCAGCATAGTGATCTTGTTATAATATAATAATAATATATTATAATAATAGCAACAACAATAATAATAATATGGAGCCACCGTAACTTGACTCCGAAGCACTCTGAAACTTTTCCAAACTCAACCCAAGGCCTATGCAATGAATTCCCAGACATCTACGGATCGAGTTGGACGACTTTCTCAGTTGCTTAAACTTCCGAAAACTAGAAAAAGGGGAAGTTCATCACCCGAACCGACAGATCTTACAAAGGAGCAGACATTCAGTGATCCTTCTTTCTTTCTTTCTTTCTTTCTTTCTTTCTTTCTTTCTTTCTTTCAACCAACCAACCAACCAACCAACCAACCAACCAACCAACCAACCAACCAACCAACCAACCAACCAACCAACCAAAGCAACCAACCAACCACCCAACCAACCAACCAAAGCAACAAAGGGTCTTTGGCATGGCTTTCCTCCTCCATCACTCAACATCTCTTTGACCAACCTTGAGCACGTTCTCCTTGGAGCCGGTCCTGGACCTGGTTAAGGACTCGATTCGGGACATAATCCAAATCCCAGATGGATCTGAACGAGTTGACCGGGATCCTTGTGGGCATCCAAAGCAAAGGACCAAGAAGGAGAAGTTGTGGCCGAAGAGGAAGAGGCCCACAGAGAGGAGTCTCACAGGCTTTGTCTGCGCATCCCAGAGCGCACGGCAAGGGAAGTTGGCGGCGGAGGCTGTGGCCAAACTGCACAACTGTTCTCGGGCTGTTCGAAAAGGGCCTTCGCTCCTCCTCCTCCTCTCCGAAGAAGGGATGTGGAAAAGGAGGAGGAGTAGAAGCAGGAGGAAGAGGAGGAGGAGGAGGAGGAGGAAAGCCCAGCCTTGGTTGGGTTTGACATCACTTGAGGGGAAGAGGCTCAGAGAACAGGGGCGGCTCTGTTCCCAAAGACCAAGGCAAGCTTTGGGATGGCCAAGAAGGATGCCCCAGTTTCAAAGACCAGCTGTGACCCACACAAATGACGGACCTGGACCAAACTTGGTACACAGATTCCCCAAGACCCACTTTACGTCCTGAGGTAGTTTGGAGGGGATTGGACCATGGATGATGGGATTTAAGGTACCTTCACTCACTTCCAGACACCACTGCGACCCTCATGAATGACGGACTTCGACCAAACTTGGCACACAGATTCCCCCACAAATGACAGACCTGGACCAAACTTGGCACACAGATTCCCCATGAAACCACTTTACGTCCTGAGGTAGTTTGGAGGGGATTGGACCATGGATGATGGGATTTAAGGTACCTTCACTTCCTTCCAGACACCACTGCGACCACCATGAATGATTGATTTGGACCAAACTTTGGGATGCCAATCAAGGATGCCCCAGTTTCAAAGACAGGTTGTGATCCCCACGAATGATGGACTTGGACTAAACTTGGCACACAGATTCCCCATGATGCACTTTACATCCTGAGGCAGTTTGGAGGAGGATGGACAATGGATGATGGGGTTTGAAGTACCCTCAATCTGTGTGCCAAGTTTGGTCCAGGTCCATCATTTGTGGGGGTCACAGTGGTCTCTGGACATGAGAATGACGGACCTGGACCAAACTTGGCACACAGATTCCCCCACAAATGACAGACCTGGACCAAACTTGGCACACAGATTCCCCATGAAACCACTTTACGTCCTGAGGTAGTTTGGAGGGGATTGGACCATGGATGATGGAATTTAAAGTAACTTCACTTACTTCCAGACACCACTGCAACCACCATGAATGATTGATTTGGACCAAACTTTGGGATGCCAATCAAGGATGCCCCAGTTTCAAAGACAGGTTGTGATCCCCACGAATGATGGACTTGGACTAAACTTGGTACACAGATTTCCCATGATGCACTTTACATCCTGAGGTAGTTTGGAGGAGGATGGACAATGGATGATGGGGTTTGAAGTACCCTCAATCTGTGTGCCAAGTTTGGTCCAGGTCCATCATTTGTGGGGGTCACAGTGGTCTCTGGACATGAGAATGACGGACCTGGACCAAACTTGGCACACAGATTCCCCATGAAACCACTTTACGTCCTGAGGTAGTTTGGAGGGGATTGGACCATGGATGATGGGATTTAAGGTACCTTCACTTCCTTCCAGACACCACTGCAACCACCATGAATGATTGATTTGGACCAAACTTTGGGATGCCCATCAAGGATGCCCCAGTTTCAAAGACAGGTTGTGATCCCCACGAATGATGGACTTGGACTAAACTTGGCAGATTCCCCATGATGCACTTTACATCCTGAGGCAGTTTGGAGGAGGATGGACAATGGATGATGGGGTTTGAAGTACCCTCAATCTGTGTGCCAAGTTTGATCCAGGTCCATCATTTGTGGGGGTCACAGTGGTCTCTGGACATGAGAATTGACCAAACTTGGCACACAGATTGCCCATGACCCACTTTACGTCCTAAGGTAGTTTGGAGGGGATTGGACCATGGATGATGGGATTTGAAGTACTTTCACTCACTTCCAGACACCACTGCGACCCTCATGAACGACGGACTTCAACCAATCTCGACACACAGATTCCCCATGACCCACTTTAGATCTTGATATAGTTTGGAGGGGATTGGACCATGGATGATGGGATTTAAAGTACCTTCACTCACTTCCAGACACCACTGCGACCCTCATGACTGACGGACTTTGACCAATCTTGGCACACGGATTCCCCATGACCCCCTTTACATCCTGAGTTAGTTGGGAGGCGGACGGACCACAGATGACGGGATTTGGAGTACCTTCACTCACTTCCAGACACCACTGCAACCCCCACGAATGACGGACCTTGACCAAACTTGGCACACAGTCCCTCATGACCCACTTTACATCCTGAGATAGTTGGGAGGAGGATGGACCATGGATGATGGGATTTGAAGAACCTTCACTTACTTCCAGATACCACTGCGACCCCCACGAATGACGGACTTGAACCAAACTTGGCACACAGATTCTCCATGACCCACATTATGCCCTGGTGTGGTATAATGTTGGGAGTTGAAGTCCAAAACACCTGGAGGGCCCAAGTTGGTCCATACTATAGAGATTGATTAAAGTAATATAGGAACACTGCATTTGTATTTCTTTTAACGAGCTGGACATAACCTGGCCAAGCTTATGATGATATGGACCTTGCCAAACTAAAACTCCCATTGTATTGTATTGTCGAAGGCTTTCATGGCTGGAATCACTAGGTTCTTGTGGGGTTTTTTTCGGGCTATAGAGCCATGTTCTAGAGGCATTTCTCCTGACGTTTCGCCTGCATCTATGGCAAGCATCCTACCTCTGAGGATGCTTGCCATAGATGCAGGCGAAACGTCAGGAGAAATGCCTCTAGAACATGGCTCTATAGCCCGAAAAAAACCCACAAGATCCCATTGTATTATTATTATTATTATTATTATTATTATTATTATTATTATTATTATCCCACTTGATCTCTCCTGCGGGAGACCCAAAGCAGCTCAACAGAAAAGCATCAGCGTACAAATCATCCCATCGCATTGAGCCATGGCTGCTACACACATTCCAAGGACAGAAGGAGTCGACACCAAAGCAATCACCAAAAGAAAAGCGAAAAGCGTTTCCATCCTGAAAAGTCACACTTTTGAAAATAGATGTGACGGAACGGAATGTGAACAGAGAACCAAGACGAGGCACATCCGACCTCCACGCATCGGCCTGAAAGAACCCTTCTTTGTTTGCCGTTCCCCGGGTCACGTGGAGAGAACATCCCATGCCTTTGATAACACATGCAGGACGCCTTGCAAAATGCTACACGGGTGGGTCAAAAAGTTTTGCCTCCTGGGTCATAAAACCGTTCGGAATGAACCGATAACAACAAAAGTTGCTCCAAACCATAGCCTGAACTGCCCTCTACGCAAAACTACCTCTCAACAGAGTTGCCATCAATTAGTACACAGGAGCTTTTCTGTTGAGTTCCAGGGCAAGGAAATCAGCTACAGAACAGGAGCTTTTTTGTTGAGTTCCAGGGCCAGAGAAGCAGATGGCGGAAACAGAAGGACGGCCTGCCTCAGAGGAGCGTGCTTGCTCCATCCATGTTCAACATCTACACAAATGACCAGCCACTGCCAGAAGGGACAGAGAGCTTCATCTATGCTGACGATCGTGCCATCACCACTCAAGGAAATCAGCTACAGAACAGGAGCTTTTTTGTTGAGTTCCTTGGCCAGAGAAGCAGATGGAGGAAACAGAAGGACGGCCTGCCTCAGAGGAGCATGCTTGCTCCATCCATGTTCAACATCTACACAAATGACCAGCCACTGCCAGAAGGGACAGAGAGCTTAATCTATGCTGATGATCGTGCCATCAACGCTCAAGGAAATCAGCAACAGAACAGGAGCATTTTGTTGAGTTCCTTGGCCAGAGAAGCAGATGGAGGAAACAGAAGGACGGCCTGCCTCAGAGGAGCGTGCTTGCTCCATCCATGTTCAACATCTACACAAATGACCAGCCACTGCCAGAAGGGACAGAGAGCTTCATCTATGCTGACGATCGTGCCATCACCACTCAAGGAAATCAGCTACAGAACAGGAGCTTTTTTGTTGAGTTCCAGGGCCAGAGAAGCAGATGGAGGAAACAGAAGGACGGCCTGCCTCAGGGTAGCATGCCTGCTCCATCAACGTCTAATATTTACACAAATGATCAGCCACTACTAGAAGGGACAGAGAATTTTAATCTATGCTGACGATCGTGCCATCACCGCTCAACTAGAAAGCTCTGAAATGGTGGGACAGAAGCTCTCCAAAGCTTGAGGTGTCATATTACAGGGAAAACCAGCTTGCTCCATCCATGTTTAACATCTACACAAATGACCAGCCACTACTAGAATGGATAAAGAATTTAATCTGTGCTGACGATCATGCCATCACCGCTCAAGCAGGAACCTTTGAAATGATTAAACAGGAGCCCTCCAAAGCTCTTACTGCCCATTACTGGGAAAACCAGTTGATTTCAAATCCATGACACTGTAAATCATCACCTTCTCCTGAAAAAAATGTACAATATCACAAAGGACTACCACCTCACCCATTTCATAGGAAATCTGCTACAAAACAGGAGCTTTTTTGTTGAGTTCCAGGGCCAGAGAAGCAGATGGCGAGAAGAGAAGAACGGCCTATCTCAGGGGAGCGTGCTTGCTCCATCAACATTTAATATTTACACAAATGATCAGCCACTGCCAGAGGGGCAGAGAATTTGATCTATGCTGACGATTATGCCATTACCGCTCAAGCAGGAAGCTTTTAAATGTTTGAACAGAAGCTTTCCCAAACTTGAGGTGCTCTTACTGCCTATTACAGGGAAAACCAGCTTGCTCCATCCACGTTTAACATGTACACAAATGACCAGCCACTGCCAGAAGGGACAGAGAATTTTATCTATGCTGACGATCATGCCATCACCACTCAACGAGGGAGCTTTGAAATGGTTGGACAGAAGCTCTCTGAATGTTGAGGTGCTCTTACTGCCTATTACAGGGAAACCCAGCTTGCTCCATCCATATTTAACATTGACACAAATGACCAGCCACTGCCAGAAGGGACAGAGAGTTTAATCTATGCCGACGAATGTGCCATCACCGCTCAAGCAGGGAGCTTGGAAATGGTTGCACAGAAGTTCCCCGAAGCTTTAGGTTGGTGTTTCTCAATCTTCCTAATGCCTCTTAATACAGTTCCTCATGTTTAATATTTAGACCAATGACCAGCCACTGCCAGAAAGGACAGAGTTTAATCTATGCTGACGATCATGTCATCACCGCTCAAGCAGGAAGCTTTTA